TATATATATATATAATGAAATTGCAAGTTGTACATAAAAATCTTAGTAACAAATTACTAAAAATTTAGAATCATCCTGTTTATTTTTTACAATAAAATATGGACGAATTTTTATTTGCAATTTTCATCATTTTTATTTTGTTCAGCACATGTGCCTACGTTTCGATAAGGATTATTAAATATATTATTACTGCAGAATATTACTGCAATATTCTCTGAATTGAACTGCAATGATTCTTCATCATTTTATAATACAATTTGTAATCTACATACTCAATCAATTACAAATTTATAGTAACATCGATATTATACATTACGCTACTGGGTAATTTAATTATATGTGAAACATTATGATTAAAATTACAAGTAATTATAACAATACTTTTAACAATGAATTCGTGTATATATTACAATATACATATATAATACAGTTAATATTCAAAGATGTGGAATAAACTGCAATGTTAAAAATATTTGGCAATAACAATTCAGTGTGAATTTCCTTTACAATAATACCTATATAAAATAGCCTTAAACGCATAACGTCGAGAATTAAAACATAAGAAAGCACTAAATATAAATTTATATTTTGGATTACAATCGTCTGAATTATCATAAAGCAAAATTACAATTATGAGAAGGCGTATAGATTTGTCGGTGTTATTCAGACAGATTCTGTGACATCCATTAGTGGTTGGTCGACATCAACAGAAGGACCTATCACAGCAGTGCTGTAAAATATTTTGAATAATATATTTTATAAGAAACTCCAAAACTTTTAGCATACAGGACATAAAGATCTTATTTATAACAGAAATAAAATACAACAAAAGCTATCAATCACAATACTGCACAAAAAACAAAGATCAATGCTTCATATAGCTTTATCAAATATTGTTACAATCATTATAAAAATGTTAATTTGCCATTCATTCACCCACACTCAAAGACGAAGATATGTTAGATAGATCAAATACAGATATAATATATAGAATAAAAAAGAATAACATTCATTTTGACTTTATATACACATATTCATGCAAGCGTGATATTGTAATATTCAATCGGGATTACAGACAATATTACCCAGTGCCAAGAGCCAAAATTGTAGCTTCTTGTACCAATGTCATTTGATCAATGGTGGACCTGTGATCAATCAAAAATTCAATAGAATGAATTATATAAAAAAAAAGATATTGTATTATATTTACCTTATATACATGATATGTATGATTATATATATATATATATATATACACACACACACACACATAGTGTAAATAAAATTTAAATTACACGTTCAATTAGCTTGAAATGAACAAATATTTGAAACATGTATACTATATAAGATCATGAAAAATTATGAAAACAAGACATCAATTTATTTCAGTCAGATCAAAGGAAATCTAACGCAAATACATATATTTTTTAAATCTGTTTTATTGTTATTTCTTATATTTTTTAATGCATATTAAAATAATAAGGAAAATTGTTTTATATGGCAAATTAATATGGACTCAAACAAGTTCTTTTGTTAATTTAATTTTAAATTATTATGAGGAAAAATTGAAGCAATAATAATGATTTCAGAATTAGTTTATTGTGGAAGCAGGAGCAGTCAGCAAAAGAATGTTTAGTAGTATTTATTAGTAGTAAAATCGGAAACTTACTGTAATTTCGTAGCACGATGTATTTTATTTTATTTTATTCATATATTTATGTGATAAAACTTCATATAATGCATTTGCAAAATGTAAAAACCTAAAAGATGCATGTATAAGTTGAATGTCAATAAATATGTTCAGTCAGGATATTTCTGTAAATGATGTGTAAATTATACTTTTGTATTTCTTAATATTGTTATATATTTCATTTATTGATAGGCACTGTCAATATAGGATAGGAATATTCTGTAAATGTGGGATAAGATAAAGAATAATTATAAATAAAATTTTATTTCTATGAAGAAATTCATTTTTTACAGATGATTTTAGATATATTTTCTATTCTACTATAAATATAAATGTTCGTTTTTTTAGCAACAAAGAATATTTGAATTAACTATTGGAATGTATATATCATTGTTCATTATTAACAGAATGCATAATAATATATAGTTATTTATAATACAATAATATGAATTTCATTTCATAACAATTAAAATATCTAGGTACATCAATTTGTTTATTATTGTGAAAACATAGTATGCCAAGTCCTCCGAATAAACAAGACATTCTACAACTAAATTTTAATTCTCTGATCTATTTGAACTCAAGTTTTCTTCATAGAAAATATTGAGAGATTCAGATCATTTATAATAATCTTCCAATTCTGAATGTTATATATTTTTACAGTTTTAAATAAAAATTCTGTTACAAAATATACTTCAAATTAACTGAAAAATATTACTTTATCAATTTATCTATAGATAAGAAATTCAATTTACAATTATTTCTAATTGAATAATTATTAACGCCTCAATATTTTTTAGTTTAAGAAAAATCGATTCCAAATTCATTAGAGAACTTGTTATTAAAATCAGTTATGAATCATGAGAGGAGGCACTTCACTTTAGTTGCGATAGATTTTATACAACTACATGTACTATTAAATAATAACAAATATCTGCATAAATATAATTTGTAAGGAATGATTGTTATATAAAGTGACGGTTGGATATACTATCAAATTGAATAAAATTGTCTTGATCTAAGAATCAAACCTATAAAGTACCTGATTTACATAGGGAGATGGAGAGTCAAATTCAGTTTCATCACCCCACTGTTGGGTGCCGGGGCCCAACAGAGTATGAGTATCTTCATTGCACAGCCGCTCGGGAAAGTTTACCCCGTCTCCAAAGCTGCAAGCCATACCCTACCTTCTACTCGATGTTATCCCATGTCTACAATCCTTATGGCGTAACTATCTATCATATTTCCCTTTTTTTACTTTTTTTTTGATTCAATTTACTTAGCTAATCGATTAAATGAAAAAGAATCGTAAAGGAAGTAAAAACAAGGTACTTCTTTTAAAGAAGGAATAACTATACATAGTTACACCACTTTTATACTACAAGTACAGTTTATAAGAACCAGATGCACAATACCTCACGTAATTATTATAACAATTTTACGCAAATTAGTCTTCAACTAAAATTTATAAAGTAACATAAGACATGCAGCTTTACCACAAAAATTAATCTTAAATACTTTTATATAAATACATTATTATTTAAAAATATGTATATTATATTTAAATCTTTCAATACACATACTGTAACGAGTAGATATTTATCTGTAAATGAGATATTAAAATATAATATTAATAAATGTATTTTTAGAGAAGACTGCAGATACTTTAAAAATTAATTTTTTTGTTTTTTAATAATATCCTTTCCCTTCAATATACATTTCAATAAAAAACAAAAAATCAATTGGCAGTTATAAGATATATGCAAATTGTGAATTGTGTCAATGTTATCAAACATAATTGTAGTTACAAAGAATACCTTCTCACTCAGAAGCAGAATAAATAAAAGTTTGATTTTATAGATTTCGCAGACAAATTGTATAAAAAGCTTAAGTTACGAAATGATTGGGGAAGAGTAATAGCTGTAGAAATGATAGTCAGCGTCAAATAAAAAGGTATGAATGCGTTGCATGCAGCCTGGAAGCACTTAAAGGTCTTATCATTACTCTGGAACTCTATAAAAAAATAAAGGAAAAGGTATACAAAAATATAAACATAAAGGCAAGAAAATATTTTGAATAGGTTAAGAACATCAAAAGAAAATAGCAAAACTTTTAAAAATCTCTTTAAAAGCAAAGTATTGAAAGTTCTTTTCCCCAAATTTATTTTCAAAACTTATATTTAAAGTACATTTATTTGTTAAGCACATCTTTATCGAAAAAAAAACCCGAGTTCCACAGTAAAGAGTCAAAGTAATTAATATTGCATTTTTGTTTAAAGCTTTTATAATGCTGACCTGTTTTGAGTACTGCCCATGGAGTCATAAGTATTGGGTGTGCCCTGGTGTTGCGATCTTACTGGGTAGACGACACCATTTCCCAGACTAGAACACATCCAATGCAACCACTCCAATTTAAAAAATATTGAATTTGCTTTTGTCGGTCATAAAAGTGCAAATATAGTGCTCATAAGAATGACTTGTAAGTGCGGGAGTTGCATACTAACTAACAGTGCATCAAAATGAAAAATTTTTATATCCATATTTCTAAAAAAAAAAACTTTGCATCGAAAAAATAGGAATTTATATACAGGACAAAAATGGAAAACAGTAAAATTTCAACTTATGTAACAATCTATCTGCATCCTGTTCCGATTTAATATAAAACAAAAAATATCATACAACATATTTCTTTCTGTATAATTATTATAACACAGAGATATAATAAAATAGTTTCAACATGTACATCTTTTTATTATAATAATAGATGGAAATTCTTCAAAACTTTTTGTAGAAAAATCAAAAGAATAATGTATAATATTTTCACACACATAATTTCGGAGCATTCTCCATATAATTATAGATAGAAAAATATATATAGAAAAATACTAATCAAAAATTTAAAAAATTGTATCACATAAAACATGCGATTATTTTGTTTCTTTGAAGGAAAATAAACTTTGAAAAAATCAGAATTGCTCACACTTTATACTCAAGGCCCTGCAGTACTTATGTTACCGTATTTCAAATTTCGTTTAAGTATGCCAAACCGCATAGTTGTTTTTTTATAAAGATTATGATAGACGGTATACTAGAAGCATACAAATTGATATAATAGTTGAGTTATTATGTATTGTGCAATTGGTTCCCACTTTGTAAATTATACAATTTTATCGCGTATAAAATATTGAAGAAATGAAAAGGACATACCTACTAAATATGGGTAGAAACCAGAGTCGCGGATTGTCACCGAATACTTCCTGAAAATTATTGTATTTTCCCAGACTAAATCCATCTTTGTCCTTTCCTGTCCGAAACATAGGTGCTCTAAAGGCCTCTATAAAACATTTATATGGTACTGATTAAAGATTACACATTAAATATTGTAATAGTAAGATGAAAATATATATATATATGTAATAAGTACCTAGCGTCGATCTATTATGAATAACGAGATAGCAATGATAGAAGAAAAGGGAGATAAGACTGACTGCAAACATCAATGCAACGAAAAAAAGAAATAGCAGGTGAAATCTACCCATTCCATCTAGTT